TTTTAAGGTGTGGTGTCAGCTTGGTTAACGTAAAAGAAGAAGTTACACGTATCACGTACTTGTCCTATTCCGACACATATCGACGACGGGAACCTGAAAAAGTAGATGAAACTCCAGTAAATTTTAATGCTTTAGAAGTTCAGCACACTGTAGTTAGTAAGCTAACCTCGTACTTAACACTCAAGGGTTAAAATGTTGCCCAACACAGGCAACAGAAAGAGAGGCTCCCTGCAGTGTGAACCACAAGATTACCATCACTGGATAAAAGTTGCCGTTAGGCTAATCAGCACCGTGGTGTTGCCTGCTCTGCTCAGCCTGCACAACTTCCACAAGCTAGGTTAGCTAGCATGGAAACAGCTTATCGACCGTAACCGTTACAGGCGTTACCGCTATGCCGTTACCTGTAGTTAGTGAGGACACTCTTGTTCACCACGACGATCAGGAACGAGCTGAGACCGTAAAACCCGGCGGCAAACAGCTTCACGACCAGCGTCGGAGGTTTGTCCGCCATCCCCGACAAGTTCTCATTCCTCTCTGAGAGTCGGCTCTTCCCCTGCCCATCACTTCTTCACTGTAGGCTCACCCACCTACACACACACACACACGTTTCACAACTTCCGCCCCAAGTCTGAGCATCACATTACGCGCAACAAATTTAACCACGAAATTTAACCATGAAATGAACGAGTTTTTTTGTTTTTGTTTGTTTGTTTGTTTGTTTGTACAAATCTAGCACTGCGAATGAAATCACCAGCCAGGCTTAGCTTATTTTTTGCATTCTACTTTCTTTTGACATGGAGCATTAAACTTAAAGCAAGAATCGGACGGATATTTGATCTTTCCTGCAGCTTTATTATCCCCCCAGCTTTCACAAACACATCTGATTTACAGGCAGGTCGGCACTTCCCGGTTTTTAACCTGACATGTGATGCGATTAGTCCAATCACAAATTAGAAGGTTTTTGTTGTTGTTCTTTATTACATGTAATTGGGGGTTAGGCGAGATAAGTTATTTATTCACCACATTTCAAACACCACAGCTAGTCAAGATAAATTCAAAATCCAAGATAAAAGATAATAACGGCAATAACAATAAAAACAACAAAAATTAAAACAAGGGCGATGGCATAGCTACACTGTTAGTTAAAAGCAACCGTGAATCTAAAGCTGTGCTCTTTACAAAATAGCTAGGGTTGGAGACGATGTGACCGCAATGGGTAGCTGGTTCCAAAATGCCCAAATGCAATAGATATTTATTGAAAATGTTTATGGTGGCAACTACGAAGGCTATAACTAGGCATTGCCTCCTACAGGGCAATGGGTTGTTTGGAAGAATTATAATAAAAATACATTTAAAAAACAGAAATGTACATATGTGAACTGCTAGGTAACCAGATCTTGCAGACCTTGAGATCTACTAGGTTTGTATACATTAAACACTATAGATTTATATTTAGGGCCAAAATCATTCAAAGATGTATAAACAATCTGTAATATTTTAAATTTAATTCTGTATTTTACTGGAAGCCAATGCAGGGAGACGACAATTGGAGTGATATGGGAGGCCAAGGAAAAGATCATTGCAACAGTCTACAGAAAAACAGGCATGAATGAGCTTCTCCAGATAAAAATATCCCAGTTTAGCCAAATTACTAAGATCCCAAAAGGCTGATTTAGTTACAGCACAAATATAGTTAGTGAAACTAAAGCCCTCTTTTATTGTTGCACCAAGATTTTTCACACAAGTTTTAGATTTGTGGTTTTACATATACAGATATAAAGTTATAAGTAACCCATGCAATTAATTGCATGAATCGTATTTCACACTATGATCACATGCAGCAGCAGTATAAAATGTATCTCCAAAAGTTGATTCTGTACATCTGGACGTAGCGTTTTCAGTGGGAGAAACATTTCGTCACTCATCCAAGTGACTTCTTCAGTTTCTGGTGACTACAGGTTTCCCCGGTCTTCTAAACAGTACATTTGCATAATGACTGTTGTTGATCAACAGTCATGAGAATTTGCATATAATCATGATGAAGGAACTGACCTCCCAGCCCATTGTTCCTTCAGTGGGCTGTTTTCAGTCATTAAACACAGCACATGACAGGAACAAGTATGTTCTGGAGACAACAGAGCTCTGAGGGTCCCCTGTGCCGAAATATGCTCACCTCACCTACTTCCAAGGTGCACGTTCAGAGGTTAAAGCTACAGCAACATGTGTAGGAAATGTCATAACTTTATTGTTTGACTAACATATTTTCAGCTTATTGCCTTCATCATGATGAAGTAATAAGCTGAAATTTGTCAGACAACAATAACTTGTTGATCCTTGGAGAAAAGGAATAGGTTGTCAAGATGGGCCTTTGTTGATGGGGGTTTACTTTTCTTCCTTGGGCTATTCCTGATTAGTTTGCAGGAGCATTGAGGCCACGGCTATTGGGACGATTAAAAAACGTGATGCTTTTATCCCAAACATAAATGGATATTAAAAGTCTTCTGGATAATGAGTTTGGTTAGCTAGAGTTCACACAGATTTACACAAAACTGGTGAAGGTGAATTTGATTCAAAGCAGATAATTTTTGTTTTCTTTCAGTCTAGTTTTAAGAAAAAATGCCTGGCTGTAATATCTCATTAATTGTTGGATGGATTGTCTTGAATTGTGTTTTATATTTTTGACTCTTGTTAAAGATTATTAACAGTTTTCTGTCACTTTAATTAACAGGTTGTATTTTAAACCTAATTTTCTTTCCTATATTTTGAGGGTTGTAGATTATAAAGGCTTGAAATAAAGCATTAACGCACACGAGGGAAATGTTAAGATATGTGCAGATAAGATTAAGAGTTTTATTGCTGCCTCATATCTGTCCTATGATCAGGAATGTCTTGAACTTCTGTCCTTTGCCATTTATATCTGCTATGTATGTGGTAGAGTTCTTGTAGCATTACTCGTCATCATGTTGCCGTCTTAGGACATACATACTACATTTATTTATATATGTATAGACATATAAAAAGTGTGTGTATGTGCACCCCCATGGGCTAAGGTGTAACCACCAGGTGCTCTTTCCATCTGATGTTTTCTTTTCCATAGGGGTCATATGAATGGCTCCTACAGCTGAGGTGGTTGGACGATCTGATTTCCTCGTGTCAGCATTGTTCCCACATCATCATAATTAATGTTGTTCCAGGTTCAACATTGCAAGTGACCAATCGCCTTCTTGTGACGTCATTCCTTTCAGGGACAACATTTACGCGATGTCCCAGGGACAACATTTACGCGATGTACCAGGACAAATTTGTAATATTTTCTGTGCAATAGCTCACAGTAGCTTGAGTCCCTCAGGGAAAAAGGTATACACTGATTCAGTGTTAAAAATTATAACTATCTCCAATACATGCTTCAATTTACTATACAGACTCCAAGCTGTATAATCCTCATATATTAATTTTATCTAAAAATAAAAAAACAAAAACAAGAAACCCCCCAAGACTTTCAGTATCAAGAAATTCACAGTATATTTATTTCTTCTAGACAGAGTGGGGAGTCATTTTAACCTGAGCTTTTACAAAATGATGATAATAAATTATCACTGAATAAAGGCCAGCTTCGTGACCTTACCTTGAAAAAGCCCTTGTGTATTTTGGCAGGTGGTTGCGGGATAAAAACCCTGACGTGTCTCTGATAAGAATTGTGTCTGTGCATGTGCCACGTTGTCAAACAGCGAGTACAGTGGTAAATTCAGCCCCTCACTAATTTCATTTTCTTCAAAACACAGAAGGGGACATCTCGCATGAGCCATGTCTGGACTGAATGCGTCTCTCGGATACTTTGTGGCTGCTGTGACTTTTGTAGTCTCAGTTCGATTTCTCCTTAAAAAACGGCCACGGTTCAGCTTCATCTCAGAGTTTACATCTTCTTTTATGCTGGTGGCATGTTGGCTGGAGGTGCAGACCATCGTGGAGGTGGGCGAGTGGGCCGGGGGTTTGGGCCCTGATGTGACTTTAACCATACTGTTTGTGGTATTGCTCACACACGGTATAATCTGTGGTGATGCATCAGGGAATCCCAGCCTGGCTGTGCAGAAATTCATGAAGCTTGAGGCCACCACCGTAACCACACTGCTTGATGTTGCTGCCCAGTTTATTGGGGCTCACCTAGGCCTTCTTGCAGCCAAATACTACTGGAGCCTGGAGCTGACAGACATGCACATGATCAAAAACCTGATGATCAGTGAGTGCAGCACATCTCTGCTGGTTTCTGTGCTTCAGGGATTTTTTACCGAGTTTGCCTGTGCCCTCGTCTTGCACATCATCCACTTAAACCTATGCCGCCGATCTGCTCTGATCCGAGTGCCGCTGATTGCTGTCCTCCTAACATTCCTGTCCCATTCAGGTAAGCCTGGGAATAACTGGCTTTCCTTTTCCTTTCCTTTTATTTAAACGTTTTACCTTCTGCTTTTTGGGATCCATTATTTGCATTTTTTTTTTTACTTTGAAAGTTCAGAGGACTTAAAGCTGGAAATTTAACGAAAACTGTATTTTCCTATTCTTTTCTTCAGCCAAAGGTTATACCTCAGCTTACATGAATCCATCACTGGCATATGGACTCACCTTCCACTGTTCTGGATTTACCTTTGCAGAGTATGCAGTGGTTTACTGGCTGGGCTCTCTCACAGGTAAACTGATTAAATGTGCATGTCCTTTCAGGTCTTAAAAAATTAACACAATACATAAAATAAACATTTGATTTCTAGGTATGACTTTGGCTGTTCTCCTGTACATGGGCCATATTCCCAGAATCTTTGCCAAGAATCTGCTATACTCCCAGAAGACACGTTTCAGAGTGCCCAAGACAGACAAAGCAGAAATGCAAATCTTTACTTACCAGTGCTCAGCTGTAAAGAGACGTTTTTAATTTAACAATTTATCAAAAATAAAGAAAGAAAGAAAATCTTCAAATTTTGTCCTCTGTTTCTTTTTTAATCATGACATAAGTTTTTATTTGAAAAAAACAAAAACAAAAAAAAAAACAATTTACAAGATACATATGAAAAAAAATTTAGCAATGTTAGAGTGTTAGCATAAAAAACAAAACAACCCCCCCCCCCCTTAGTAATCAGAAAAGTAAAAAAACAAACAAACAAGCTGTCAATAAAATGAAAAGTAGTAATTTCATTTAAATAACATTTAAAAAAAAAAACCTTCTCTAGTCTGTGGGTGGATGTGACACAACAAAACTATATATTAGCTTTTATTAAGAACAGTCCTTTGTATGTTAACCCCTCTTAGGCCCTGGGACCATTTTTGGTCCTTTTAGTTTTTCAGTTACAAGCCATTTGCACTGTGTTGAATGGAATATAGCCAAATTCTCTAAAAAAAAAGTTTGGCATAATTTCATGTCAAAATTCAATCTGACTTCCTTAAGCAAATAGAGCAGAGCCATGGCTGCTACGTGCTGGTAGCACCTGGAGCAGAACTGAGTTTTGATGTCTGTGACCCGTCATTCTTTGTGTCTTTTGGCTGATTTTTAGCAGAAGTGATTGAATCTGTATGAAAGAAAGAAAAAACAATCAGCACAAATTTTTTGTCATAAAAGTCCCGTGCAAGCAAACATGAATTTCTTAATTACTGAATTTGGCAGCATGCTTATATAAGCCATATTGTGTTAGGGTATGTTTCGTCTTAAATATAAGTTTTAAGTTTGTCACCTTTCTGCTTTTGCTGCTCCAGCTGAGCCTCGGCTCGGTCTGCCCATAAACAGTAATCTGGATTATTCAGTAAGGTCTTCCTCTGTCCACAACTGAGACATCTCATCACGGTAAAACGAGTCTTGCTGTTTTTTCCTTATTAAAGAAATTCAGTTTAAATAAATAAATAAGTAAATTTTTAATATTTATTCATTATCAACCATTTCTGAAACAAGAAAGTGACAGCCTACATTAAGTAGGGATTGAAAGATAATAGGGGCTTACGTTTTTGTCTTGTTGTAGCAGTTACACCTGGAATGAGCAAAGAGCAGCACCTCTTGCACAATGTCCTCTTCACCGATGGATCTCTACATATATTGAAACATTAAAATGTTAGTCCATCTTTAAGTACATTCTGATTTTACTACTGTCCATCAGCTCCTAGACCAGTTTCATGTAAATATATGTGAATCTTCACACAGCTACACATTAACATCATAACACTTGTCCACACATTGTCAGTGTGAGACTGCTCTCATTTGTGAATACAGCAGGGTAAACGTGGCAGATGTTCCAGACAAATGCCAACTGAGCTGCTGGTCTGTGAGCACAGGGCCCACTAAACGATCTCTGGTCCTTATGTGTGCTTGTGTAGTTCGTACGGTATCGTATATTTAACACTATTTCAATAACTTGTGTTTTGTTTTGTTTTTTTAACTGTGACATTTTCATCTCAGTAGTTCAATACTTGATCTAAAGGGAGCTCTGTGGCACGCCGAAATATCCTGCATTACTCTTTTGCTCCCCAGACAATGTGATCAACGGGATTTGTTAAAAATCAGTATTTAAGTACACGTGATTATCATCTCAACTTACTGTCTGAGAACGAGACGCTTTGCAATCGTCTTCTGTGAGAAGCAGTAGAAACGAGCCAGCTCCACATTTTCCGGATTTTGAGCTAAAACACAATGTGCAGCCTGTGGACAAAACGTAAGAAACCAGCTGAGCGACCACATTCAAAACAGAGAGCATGCTAGCATTTATGTAGCATGTGACTGTAGCTGGAAGCATCGTGACGATAATTAACTAAAACTTTCTCCAACCTGGTAAAGGTAGTTCAGTCTCTGGTAAGCTTCTTTGTCTTTCAAGTGGAGCGCCATTACACACAAAAGTCAGATAACAAATTAGCCCTAATAGTAACAGCGGATTACTTCTAACCACAGCAGTATGACCCTCTGCAAGTAGCTACAACTGATATACTTCCGGGTTAATCCTTCAAAATAAAGGCACACAACGTGATTCACACCTCGGAAAATCAAAAATACAAAATCATCCGATTAGGAATTAACTGTCTACAACCATTCAAAGACCCGACAAGCATCTTGTATCTTTGTAGTTTAGTTATATCAACATCAAACGATATCACAGAGAAATTATTCATTGATTCTACAACCAATTAATTGCAGGGCTTGTAATTCTTGTTCTATACTACTTTGACTTTGTGTGGTTTAAGAAGTAACGGATGATCTCTTTACACATCAATCACATTCACATCCAAATCACAAAAGTAAAAACAGTTGAATTTATTTGAGTGTGCAGACAAAGTTGTTAGTTGTCCAGAAGAGAAACCGTTAACAAATTGTCTTTACCAGCCTTTGTATCCAACCAGTATCATATGGTCACGTTTTTCAAACTAGTTAAGTACACAATATACACATGGAAAAACAAGAGCATTTGTTTAGTCAACACGAACACAAAGGACAAAGTTCAACATACAATACTCATTTTTAATAACAACAGAGAAGAAAGTAGAAACCCTGTCAATCTAACATTTTAATTTACCTGTAAGGTGCGCCTCTGGTATCAGGAGACTATAAAGATACAGGGGAAGAACAGGTACAGTAGCTCTGTTGTGTGTAACAAATGTAGAACGACATAATCACAACACATGTTCATGATGATGACTCCACTGAAATCTTTCCTATAAAACCAATAAAAGAAATGTCCTTAAACAATGGGTGGATGTGGAAATAGCACAAGTGTTCACTGAATGAGACAATATGTGACAAGAAGGGGGACAAACATAAAATTCAAGTATCAAAATAACTAAGACACCAACAAGCTGAAAAGATCAATTACAAAGGTAGTAAAAATCATGGGAAGAGAGACACTGAGACAATCAACAATACATTAGGCAACATTTTGCATTTGTTTAAGGCAGTTGATTAAAAAAAACTAAGTAGAACTAGGCATCTTCTTCATTCCAAGTTAAATACAAGCCTAGCCCTAACTTATCACCAGAAGAGTTGATGTACAAAATTAACTATGCCCGACTCTGATACTACGCACTTGAGTTTGACTTGTCTTCTGACATCTGAGAATGAATAGAGTTCATATGGACAGCGGTGGGGTTGTGCTCTAGATTTTTGGTCTTCTTCACAGTGAGGTTTGTCAGGGCTTATAAGGCTGGTGCATCAAGAGTGGCACACCACTCTCAGCCTATTGTCTGGCACAAAATCTAAATAGTTGGCACATATCTGTGCACAGCATGGGAAGGCAGGATAGCTACTTTCATCAGCTAACGATTGCTCTTCATGGCCTCCTTGGCTGCCAAGATGAGAGGTGTGAGACTGGAGAGGGGTTTCGCCAGCTTCAAAAATGGATGCTGAAAAAGATGTGGATGTGAAAAGAGAATATTACTGGCCTGAAACACAAATATAGTAAAACACTGAAGAGTTCAAAGAGTAGCCAATAACTGGAATCGTTTGTAACCTGCAGGAGCTCTTTGCCACTGCCTCTTTTCTCTACATCCATTTCCAGGCACAGGTTTAGAAAATCTCTGAAAATTGGAGACAGCTTCTCAGGATTCTGAAGCTCAGGTGTGCCATTTGTAGCAATTAGGTATAATGCCTGCCAAAGGGGAAGAGACAAACAAACAAAAACTTTAAAAGCAGAGTTTTGGGAAACAACACACTTAAAGGAAATGAATCAAGTCAAACTGGCTGAGAGGGAAATGTACTACAAAAGTTAATGCTGCACAACTTTCTATATTTGCCTGGGGATATTCCAATCCACATGAGCACATTCCACACAAGAAGTGAAGCTTGTCACTTATAAAGTAAACAGACCAAGAGCGACAAAGTCAGAAAAAGCAAAGTGTGAAATATAGGGTAATAAAGTTCATTATAGTGGTAAAAAGGAGCAGGGTGTAAAATCAGAAAACGTTAAAAATAAACAAAGGCAAGTGTTTATCCTGCTTTTCTGTTGAATCATGGGAGTCTATGGCCCACAGTTATTTTCTAACTACACCAAAAGTCCGACAGACACAAATCACCGATTCAGTTTTAAGTGATTTACTGTGACCTTGTAGACACTGTACAGATGAATAAATTGGAAACATTTCATTTAAAAATGGTATATATTTCCCTACGCTGCTCTACACTATATTAAAGATGTCTAAACTAAAATGTGTGAAAGTGTTCTGCACTCACTCGTAGTGGATTCTCATTCAGGTAGGGAGGTTCTCCTTCAACCATCTCAATGGCCATAATACCCAGTGACCAAATATCTACTTTAGGCCCATAAGCCTTTCTGGTCACCACTTCAGGAGCCATCCAGTAAGGCGTGCCTACCATGGTGCTGCGTTTGCTCTGCTCTGGAGTGATCTGGGCGCAAAAGCCAAAATCGGCTGTCGAAGACATGAAGAAGAGTGAAACAATTTACACCGGAAGGATTTAACAATGCAATATTTATCATAATTACAGCACAGGACTCACTCAGCTTGACAGAACCATCCATCCCAAGCAGCACATTGTCACTTTTGATGTCTCTGTGGATGACCTGATTTGCGTGTAGGAAATCCAATGCTTGTAAACACTGGGTGAAAAAAAGAATTGAGAGAGGGAAAGATGGCGTTTTTTATTATACCTTTTACATAAAGTGGGGGTCAGTTTGTTTTACAGGACTGCAAAATGTAACGTACCTCTCGGCAGACAGCAGCTATCTGGGCCTCATCCATGCAGGTCTCTGTAACCACATCTGTCAGCGAGCCACCAGCAAGATATTCCATCACCACAAATAACTCCTCCCCCATCAGGAAACTGGCACATAAAACAAACGCATGTGAACAATCAGACAAAAAGTACTGTAAAAAAGTTTAAAAACCTGCCAGGCTGTAGGTTTACGTTCACTCTCACCTGTCTAAAAAGTTGACAATGTTTGGGTTCTTGAGCTCCTTCATCACTAGAATCTCGTTGATGATCAGCTCCTTCTTCGGCTGCTTTTGTAAGTTGATCTGTTTAATGGCGACCTGGCAGTGTGAAAAAACATATATGACCTTTAGTTCACTCTAGGTTTAACATTCAAAAATGTTTCCTCCTAATGTAAAGCGTCACACAGTAACCTATGAAAGACAAAGTAAAAAAACACATACGCATATGCCTTTAAGAGATAAAATGAGTTTCTAAGCAGTTTAGTGGATTTAGTGGTTGGTGCAGATGCTGGACTTTAGATACTTCTTGTTGCATAACAGATAGCTCTTGCTCAGTTTAACTTAATTCAACTTCTTCATTTTTTGTTTGCTACAATTAAAATAATAAAACTTTGTTTTTTATTGAGCTAGATTGTTTTTCATATTTGTGGCTACTATGACACAATAATTTATCCTTTCTGGGGATAAATAAAGTACATCGTTCATCAGATCTACTTGTCAGGTGCATTGATGGAGACCCAATGCACTGCAGTTCTCACTTTAAAGTTGTTTGGATGGGTCTCCCTGTTATTCTGGCTACACAGCCAACTACTCACAACACTTACAAAATTCCTGGCAACCCAGATCATTACAAACTTCACTCCACAGCAACGTCTCAAATGTACCACCTGAACACCTTCACCATGTTATCTCTCTAGTAAAACTCCCTAAAAGCTCTTTCTAGCTACAACATGTTCAGTGTTCATCTGCTCACTATAAACTAAAACTGTGCACCTACGTATTACCACCCAAATAATCTTTTTAGTAACTACCAGCTGCCTCACAATCATTTTTATAAGCAAATAATAAAAAATAAACAAAAGGTGCAGTCCAATCCTTTCAAAAATGGCTTTAGCTTGTCACTCAGCCCCGCTTGCTATGATCCATATTATTTTTCTTTTTTTTGACACTACCTAGTCCATTACTGATTTAGTCTTTACCTCCTGTCCTGTGGATACATCAATGGCTGTGAATACTGTTCCTGATGCCCTGTAAAAAGAGGAAGATTATTTATTTACTTCAACACATATTCTAAGAAACTATATACTCACAATTATTCTTCAAATGCATTTTTACTCACTAAATGTTTTACTTAAGGTCAGTAATACTGAAGAGAATTTATGTTTGTATGAGTTGAGAGGAATCACATCTTGATTAGGAATGTACTACCTGAGAAAAACAAGTATTCATGTGTAACTTATAAATAACTTGTCAATCTTATAAACTAAACTTTGACATGAAACCCAATGCTGAAGATTCTCCGACCTAAAAGCTGGTTGTGAAATTTCACTTTGTTTTTGGGTGGGATGATCAGAAGTAAAAACAGAGTCAAACTGCTATACTGTTTTGTTTTTATAACACCTTCTGGAAAAAGCTTTTAAAAATCCTGCTCTGGAGAAACAAGGGGTTTTAAAACATTAAACATATTAATCAACATTAATAATATGACACATCTGCTATTAATAATGAAAGTTATTAGTCTACTACTATTTTTTCTCATGGTAACATTGCTCCAGGGCCTTTTCACAACAGAAAAAAAGAACTTGTCAAACTAGAAATGGTGAAACTGTTACAGACAAGACCGCCCTCCTGGCAAAATTTGCCAGTAAATAACTTCACCAGTTTAAAACTCAGCTCCTCCTATTGTGAGTATCTACAAGAGACTAAACAATACCAATCTCTGGTGATTTAAAAATCTCATATCGCATATCAACTGATACCGTTTCTTTCAGATACAGCAAACAAACTTTCATTGTTATTTATTAGTTAATGTATCAGTCCCTGCCAAGATAATATAACAGTCCATTTTAAAAACAAACTTGTTCATACAGCTACAAGCAGATGTGAATTACTCCTTTACGTTGCTTGTGGCATTCCAAACACTTGCTCCCAAGAGGAAACTTGTAGAGCGGCCTCTGACGAATAAACTATTCAGTATCAGCACTACTAACGTGGACCAAGTGTGTTTTGCCTATCGCTTCCTCACTTTC